GGTTCGGCGCGGGGGCCGTTGGCTCCAGACAAATAAACATGGAGTCCATCTTCCACGAGAAAGTGAGTGTCCGCGTTCGGTGGGGAGCTGTCTGCGGTGCAGTGGCTGCGGTGGGGCGCGGTATCTCCTCTTCCGGGAGCGCTGGCGGGGGCCCGAGTCGTCCCCATCCCAGTCTCGCCGGGCGGAGGAGCTTCATAGGGAGGGGAGCTTCACCAACGCCCCCACAGCACCCTGTGCCCCGGAGGCGGGTGCCCGAGGAGTCCCGGGCCGGGGGCGCCGGGGAGCTGGGAGGGAGTGAAGCAGGGCCGGGGGCGCCATGGGGCACGGGAGAGGAGTGGCACCGACTGAGCTAGCTCCTGCGCTTGCCCTCCACTTTCCGTGGGATTCGTTCTCCAGTCCCTTTTCCACTCTCCCTAGGTGTCTAGCTAGTCATCTCTTGGACAAGTCCCTCGACCCTTCCCAACTCCACCCCACTCCCCCAGTCCTACCTCTGGCAGAATTAACTTTTCCTTCTCTGGGCTCCTCAATTCTATATTGGAACCTCCCATACACTTAGATCTCTGGGGTTGTGTTCTTGTCTTCCTGCACTAGGTCCAGGAGCCTCCCGAGGGCGGGGTCCTTGGCTCGTCCCATGTAGGGCCTGACACTTAGGGAAGTGAGGTTGGAAATCCTCCGCGTCCCTAAGTAGGGAAGTCGTCGCAAGAGTTTTTGTTACGGGATGTTTAGGTTTCATTTCTTTTGGTGGTTGCATCTTTCCGGACAAGGAGGCCAGCTCGTTTATTAGGTATTAGGGGTGGACTGGAATAATTGTGTTGTTGTCCGCCTAGTGTTTGTCTTTTATCCTTGGATGACCACGCACTTGAAGATGCTGTGGCATGTGGAGGAACTCTCTCGTCTTTTCTCACATACATAAGCTATTTGGGTGTGAGTGATACCTTCCTCAGGACAACTTTGGCACATGATATGTTGTTTCATAATAGTTTAATGTTTGGAAAGGGTTGCTGGGTGAGGCTATTATTTAGTAGGAGCAAAGGGATTTTGTTTTGTTAAATACTTGTAAACGATCACTTATCCATTTAAAAATTAACACAAGTCAAAGCCATCAAAGACAAAAGAGGCACAGTATAAACCTGAGCAAATTGTTAAAGGGAATGCTTTTCTTTATAGAAAACATTTTAACACGTTGTGGCCCTGGAGTAGACCGGTTTTTATGTGTGGGGAAGGACTCAGTGGTATAGTTATCACTAATCTTTTGATTTGATTGACATGATTTATGAATCTTGGACAAGAGAAATTTAGTTGCTTGTCTAAGGAGACTGGATGCAGAGACCCTACATGTATGTATTTTTATTACTATTTTTCAAAAGCTTTAATGTAGGGCCAGATGTTTCAAATGGAAGACTTTAAACATTTCCACACCACCTCTTGAGATTCATATAATATGTTTTTATAAATACTGATTGGCGGATATGGGGCTCTATTTGGATAGATTTCAGGGAAGGTAACGACTGAACCACCGGATCAGAAGAAGCTGGGTGTTAGCCTCATAAAGGTGTACTTTCTGAAAAAAGTCACTATCAGGGATGCCTGAGTGGCTTGGTCGGTTGAGCGTCTGCCTTCAGCTTGGGTCATGATCCCGGAGTCCTGGGAGCGAGTCCCGCATGGGGCTCCCGCTCTCCCTTTGACAAATAAATTCTTTAAAAAAAAAAAAAGTCACCTTCAGCATCAGTCACTAGGCTTAAAGATACTTAAGTACAATTTACCGGGGCACCTGGGTGGCTCATTTGTTAAGCGTCTGCCTTTGGCTCAGGTCATGATCCCAGGGTCCTGGGATCGAGCCCCGCATCGGGCTCCCTGCTCAGCGAGAAGCCTGCTTCTCCCTCTCCCACTCCCCCTGCTTGTGTTCCCTCTCTTGCTGTGTCTCTCTCTGTCAAATAAATAAGTACAATTTACCTTTATCATCAACTTAAATGTACTTTATAGATGAGGCTGGTAAGATTTTGGGGGCATATTTCAAGAATGGAAAGCACCTGTAACCATAGGGCCCATTGTTGATCTCATATACAGTCCATTCTGGGAATGTTTTAGCATAATAAGCCATTTTCTAGCACACTCCCTTCCCCTCTGCCACACACATTTAACCTTTGCTAGAGCCGGAGAACTAGCTTTGGTTCTAAGGAAGCTGTGTACGTAGAGATACCTGCCTACAACAGGCCTTGCAGCTACTTCCTCTTGGGATGTTGGTTTCCCCGTTTTCAGAGTTATCACTTTGTGTGTCCTTTTTTAAGTTAGAATATAAACTTAACAGTTGTTTGGTGATCTGTCCCCAGTGCCTAAGATAGCGCCTGGCACATAGTAATTGCTCAATAAATATTTTATTGACTCAAGAGTTTCTTGAGCTTCTAAGATGTGTATGGTGCTATTTATTAAAGTAAATAATTTTTCTGTAAATATTTTAGGCTTTGCAGGTTATATATGGTCTCTCATGTATTCTTGTTTGTATGTGTGTATGGGTGTGTTACCCAACCATCTAAAATCATAAAAACCAGGGCGCCTGGGTAACTCAGTCCATTGAGCATCTGGCTCTTGGTTTCAGCTCAGGTCATGATCTCAGGGGTTGTGGGGTCCAGCCTTGCATGGGGCTTCATACTGAGCATGGAGTCTGCTTCAGGTCCTTTCTCCCTCTCCCCCCACCCCTGCTCCCCTCTCACATGCGTGCTTGCTATCTCTAAAATAAATAAAAACATCCTTAAAAAATAAATAAATAAAATCATAAAAACCATTCTTAGCTACTGGAGCAGGTTGTATTTGGCTTATAGGCTAGAGTTTGCCAACCCCTAACTTAAATCCTAATGCTAAATGGCCACTAACTGCTGGGTGTTTTGGTTCTGGTATCTGCTTTCTGTCATTTTTGTTACCATTTCTCTTGCTACCTGCTCTTGGTACTGTCACTGTGCCATCTCAATTGGTATTTTTAATGTAATGTGAACTGAGGATGATAATCAGACTTGTTGGGATTGTGTTTAAAATTAATGAAAATACTTAAAAGACGCTGAGCTTTGACTATGATACTCACTTTGCCCTTTGGTGATTGTTGGTTTCTAATTGTCTTAGGATATTTGAGGTTTAGGAATAACCAAATTCCAAATGAGTGCCCTGAGGAAGTAGTAATGTCACAGACATGAAACTTCTGCCTGGCCTTGAATCCCAGCTCTGCCATTTACTACCCATACGATCTTGGGCAAGTTACTTATTCTGTCTCTCTGCTCCAGTTTCCTCCTCTGTGGTGTGAGGATAATAAAGTGTCTACCTCAGTTATAAGCACTTGGAATGCTTCCTGGCCAGCAATATAGACATGCTGGTTATTGTTATTCAGTTGTGTTTGCTGAACCTCATAATAGGGGGTGAGACCTTACCATCACTGAGATGAGATGAAGATCTGCTAGGTTGATTGTGTGGTCCTTTAGGTTAGACCATTTCTGAGCACACACCCTTAGGTTTATGCTTGGTTTCTGTTGTAACTTGTTGTAATCAGTAGTATCTCGGGGAATTTGAACTAGTTGCAGGTTGGTCCTAAAGACTTTGGGGACAGTGAGGGAATGATGTGGTTACAGTTACCATTTGTGGTATCTTGGTAGGGGCACCTGGGTGGCTCAGTTGGTTAAGCGTCTGCCTTCGGCTCAGGTCATCATCTCAGGGTCCTGGGATTGAGCCCTGCGTGGGGCTCCCTGCTCGGCGGGGAGTCTGCTTTTCCCTCTTCCTCTGCCCTGTGCTTTCTCTCTCTCAAATAAATAAATAAAATCTTAAAAAAAGTAAAATAAAATATCTTGGTAAAGCTGAACCTACAGTTTGTTCATCCTCTGATCCCAACACAATAAGTCTGGGCCTGAAATCATGGAATTTCAATACTGCTGAAATTTGACTATGGCACAGATAAACTTCTATCCAACTTTGGTTAAAGCTCCGTGAGAAAGAGGAGGGTGGGGATAAGTTGGGCGCAGGGAATGCATAATCTTAGATGGGGCCCTTGTACAATTTTTTTTGGTTCATATAGAATTTGATTCATCTTTGACTTTAAAAAATGATTTTAAATTTGGACTGAACAATTTGTTCTTTTCTTCCATTAAATTGTATTAGAAGTACAGAACTTGATATTTCCTATAGCAGTACAGTTTTACTTAGACAAAGTTTGATTTTAAGTGCTTATCTTTTTGTATTTCAAAGCTTTTTTATAGAGAGATTTTTAAACAAATAGTTGGATTCACAATTTCAATCTATGTATTAAATGTGAGTAGTTTGAGAGTACCAAGTTGAGGCATGTATCCTGACAGCCGGACAGAAAATTTGCCTTAGAATTGTTACCAGAAAATCCAGTGTCTGGTCACCATAGTAGGTAGCTCTTGATATGTGAAATAGCTGTATCTTAGAAGAGGTCTTTTTGTTGTTATTTGAATTTTTTTACGTGTAACAGTCACATGTTAGGGGCACACAGATCATCAGAGTACAGCTCAGTGAGGTCTCACAAAGTGAAAACACATGTGTAAATAGTTCTTAGATCAAGTAACAAAACATTTACCTGCATTCTATAAGCTCCCTTTAGGCCCTCTTCCAGATACTTTCCCTCTGCCGTACCTTCACCCCTGCAAGGGTAATCACTATCCTGAATTCTAACATCAGAGTTTAGTTTTGCCTGTTTTTGAGCTTTTGTAAATAGAATCATGTAATGTGTACTCTCTTGAGTCTGTCTTCTTTTTTTTTTTTTTTTTAAGATTCTACTTATTTAGAGAGAGCGAGCAAGGGGAGGGGCAGAGGGAGAGAGAATCTCAAGCAGACTCTGCTGAGCGTGGAGCCCAATGTAGGGCTTGATCCCATGACCCTGAGATCATGACCTGAGCTGAAATGAAGGGTCGGACACTTAACCAACTGAGCCACCCAGGTGCCCCTTGAGTCTGTCTTCTGTAACATTGATTCATCCATATTGTTGCAGGTAGTTGTAGTTAATTCATTCTCATTGTCATATAGTATTCCCTTGTGAATATAACACAATTTACCCAGTCTACTGTGATGGGCATCTGGGTGGTTTAGGTTGGGAACATTATGAACAGTGCTTCTATGAACATTTTTATAGATGTTTTTTGATGAATGTATATTTACATTTCTATTGTTGGCATTATGGCCTAGTAGTGGAATTGCTAGATCATACGGTTGGTATATGTTAAGCTTCAGTAGATACCCCAAATAGTTTTCCAGAGTGGTTGTACTAATTTACATGTCTATCAGTAGTATACAATAGTTTTAATGTCTCTAATCTCCAACATTTCAGCCATTTTGGAGAGTGTGTAGGAATAACATATTGTGGTTTTAATATATCATTCCCTGATGGTTAATGAAGTGGAGCATCTTTTTGTGTTTTTTAGCCATTTGGCTATCTTCTTGTGAATACTTATTTGTCTTGCCCATTTTTCAGTAGAATATTAGTAGGATGTCTGTGTGTCCCTTCAATTCACATTGTATTATTCAGAGGGAGTTGCTTTCTGGCAGCAGGAATACAGTAGAAGGAAAAAAGATAGAGACAAGTTCTCTCTCACTATGTGGCTGTGACTTGAGAGAGATTGTGTCTTCAGCTTCAGGCTACTTATTCTGTACCAAAATATGAAGATAAGCTTATCTCGGTCCCCTGTCTCACACTCAGACTGTCTCAGTGCTCCCTTCCTATTTGTTGTATACATATACCCTGTATCATCTTCAGAAGCTGAATTTTGTTCCTAGAAAATTAATTCATCAGGAAAATATGTGTCTTGCCAGGTGTTGCTCTTTGGGGTCATCGTCTGTTGAGTAACATAGTTCAGAACAAATTGCACAAGGTAAGACAGGCTGGATTAAGGCATAGATAGTGGGGAAAAGGAGAACTTAGAGGGCCAGGGTTAGCAGAAGAAAAGTATTCTCATCTTCTGCCATCATCCTGCAGAGGGGTCTGTGTTCACAGGAAGGGATCTCATCTGCCAGTGAATCTCCCTTTTTATAAGGCAAGTGTGGGAAGGTGGCATTGTTGTGGGGAGCAGGGTGATAGGCAGACTGCTCAGTGCCAGGCAACTTGGATTTAGATTTGGGGTGCCAGTTGTGTGAGAGCCAGCTGCCGAGCACTTGAAAACCCTGGGGCCCATGGGAAATTGTACTCCCTCCACCCCCCACATAGGAAGCCGGTGATCCCAATGATCCCATGGTTGCTTGGATGCAGCTCTCCTTGCTGGCTTGTCTGGAAATGAGCTCCAGGGGTGGTTTTTGGAAGTTTTGCTCATTGTACCGTACTACATATACATTTTGCTATACATTTTGCGCTGAGTTTCCGGAAGAGAACCTTGGCTTTGTTAGTTACAAGTCTTCATTAACGTCAAATGGGATCTTTCTTACCTGTATCAGTTCTTGAGATTCTTTTGTTCATTGATTTCAAATTCCTTGAGTAAGCATTTAGATTGAGTAGATTGTCTTGTTAAAAGAATACAAATGCTCTAGGGGTTAAAATTCCATTTCAGCATGTTTCATTTGCCATGGAACCTCCAAAGATGTATGTATCTTAGGTACTGAAAATGAGAAGTGCTAATATTTTTTATAGAGTAATTTCTAGTAAAGTGTGAAATTTGGCATATCTGATAGAAAAATATTTGTTTAATATAAATCATTCTTAAGTTTTTGATCATATAACTAAATAATTGTAGTTTCATTAATGGTAAAATTATAAAATAAGTGTTAACAAATAAAAACTCATGCACTTATGTTAATCATGCTTATCTAAAGCCAAAAAGGTTCAGTTTGGCTGCATTAAGTTAATGATTAAATTCCTCTTTAGAGGAAGCTACTGTACAAATCTGTTTAACGAGTCACATTTGAATTTTTTCTTTTGGAAATATCAGCAAGAAGGCTCACTTTGTGCTCAACATTGCTTGAATAATCTGTTGCAAGGAGAATATTTTAGCCCTGTGGAATTATCTTCAATTGCACATCAGCTAGATGAAGAGGAAAGGATGAGAATGGCAGAAGGAGGAGTTACTAGTGAAGACTATCGCACATTTTTACAGGTACTGATTTTAAACTCACTAAATCATGTTTTTTTTTTTTAAATGTGGGTACTGTTTAGAAAAGGATGCACCATTCTTCCTTATGGGGCTCTGACTTGTTAATTATAACTGTGCTCTTGACTGTATAAATGGGAACGCACAAGATGTTATTTTAAATATGCACACTAATGACAGTTTTTATCCTTCTCTCCCCACCCTCAACTCCCACCTCAACTACCTATCTAAATTAAACAGCAGCCTTCTGGAAATATGGATGACAGTGGTTTTTTCTCTATTCAAGTAAGTAGTCACAAGCGTGTACTAAGGGTTGTTTATGTCCCAGGCCCTGTTCAAGCTGAGGATATGATTGATGTGAATATCTTTTCACAGCCTTTCATGGTCACTGTAATGATACGACCTTCAGAAAGTCCTCCAATAGATAGTGTCAAGGAGTATAAGATGATTAAAAAAAATAAAAATGAGCTATAGAGGGGCGCCTGGGTGGCTGAGTCGTTAAGTGACTGCCTTCAGCTCAGGTCATGATCCCAGGGTTCTGGGATCGAGCCCCGCATCGGGCTCCCTGCTCCACGGGAAGCCTGCTTCTCCCTCTCCCACCGCTTGTGTTCCCTCTCTCGCTGTGTCTCTCTCTATCAAATAAATAAAATCTTAAAAAAAAAAAAATGAGCTATAGAGCACAAGGAAAAAAACTGAAAAAACGTGTAAGATTATACTCTAGAGTACTAGATTTTTGTAGAGATAAACATGAAAGTTAGGATTGTAGAACCTTTATTTTATTTTATTTTTATTTAAGTAGGCTCCACGCCCAGCCTGGATCCCAATGCGAGGCTTGAACTCACGACCCTGAGATCAAGACCTGAGTTGAGATCAAGAGTCAGACGCTTAACCGACTGAGCTACCCAAGCGCCCCAGAACCTTCATTTTTAGAGTAGGGCTTTTTGAAAGGAGACTATTTAATTTACATCTGTATGCTGATAACCATAATTCCAATAAGTCACAGTATTTCAAACTTACTACTTGTGTAAATTTGAGAAAATGCAACACCTCTCTACCTACCATTTAAATCCACCTACCAGGATTGGATTCCTTTATTATGGTCTAAGGCCTTTGCTTGTTTTCTTTGTTTGAAACTTACATCTCCCCCTGAATTCTGAGGGTAATTGTACATGTACTTGTGAGATCCTTTTATCTGTGGGTCTTTCATTCTGTTTCTCACCCCTGGGAAGTGTGTCCAGAGTTCTTTCAGAACCTCTCATGAGGAGCCTGTTCCTACAAATACCTCTGTTGCACTCCCCTGTGCTGTCCTGCTGGACTCCTCATGCAGCGGCATTTCCGCCCAGCGCTCCGTGGGGGACTGCAGCCCACCGCGGCTGCCGCAGAGCTGGAAGAGGCCAGGGCAGGCCCAGCACCCGCCAGTGTCTGTGCTGGTACCTGGTTCACTTCCTGCTTTGTTGGCCACCTTGGAGGGCAGACAGTGAGTTCTCAGAAATCCTCTTGTTTCCTCAGTTTGGAGTAATCAGATTTGTTTTCTGTGGGGTTTTTTTTCCCCCTACAGATTATAAACTCATGGTAATAGAAGCTTAAATTCTGAAAGCTTCCGTTTAAATTCCCAGGAAGAACTCCTTTTAATAGACAAAATTTTTGTCACTACTGACATCCCAGGTAGTGAGTTGAATATAACTTTTCTAAAGCAGGACCTGTAGCAGCCAAATTATCGTGCATATATATTGGACTAGTTTTTTGTTGTTGTTTTTTAAAGATTACTTATTTATTTATTTGACAGAGAGAGAGACAGCGAGAGAGGGAACACAAGCAGGGGGAATGGGAGAGGGAGAAGCAGGCTTCCCGCCGAGCAGGGAGCCCGACGTGGGGCTCGATGTGGGGCTCGATCCCAGGACCCTGCTGTCATGACCTGAGCTGAAAGCAGACACTTAACGACTGAGCCACCCAGGCGCCCCTATATTGGACTAGTTTTAAGAATAGTACCCACTGAAAAAAAAAAAAAAAAAAGAATAGTACCCACTGAATAGAATGTACATCTGGATTTTTGAGGCAGTTTTATCTCGAATTGTGTGCTTCTCGGGAATGTTCCAGAAACCCAGTGTAAATAGCGCTCTTTTCATGCTATTTTTTTTTTTTATGGATTTAGTAGTGTATCTATATACACAGACTTTTTTTTTTTTTAAAGATTTTATTTATTTATTTTGACAGAGAGAGACACAGCGAGAAAGGGAACACAAGCAGGGGTAGTGGGAGAGGGAGAAGCAGGCTTCCCGCTGAGCAGGGAGCCCGATGTGGGACTCGATCCCAGGACCCTGGGATCATGACCTGAGCCGAAGGCAGAGGCTTAACGACTGAGCCACCCAGGTGCCCCTACACAGACTTTTTTAAAAACCATAACCTTCTGGGGAAAATTATATATAAAGTACAATTGCTTATACACCTGACATGACTATACTACTTAAATTTGGAATTGATGGTTTAGCTCATGGAAAGTTGCTATTTTTTTAACAGGTTATAAGCAATGCCTTGAAAGTTTGGGGTTTAGAACTAATTCTCTTCAACAGTCCGGAGTATCAGAGGCTCAGGATCGATCCCATGTAAGACTTTTTTTTTTTTGCTTTTCCTAAATTTGATTTTTAAAATTATAATTTCTTAAAGGATAAAAGTATATTTTGAATGTTTCTGTTGTGATGCTTCCTGTTTCATTCCCTCAGAGTTTCCTATTAAATCTTTTGGGGATGTCCGTGCACATCTGCCCACTGAGCCTCCCCCACACCTCAGTGTCCGACAGCACAGCACAGAGCTGATCCTTAAAAGCTGTGTGACGCCAGCACTTTTGCCTGGCACCACTAATCTGCAGAGAGATTTATACTGTTCTGTAATTTCTTAAAAACCAGTGATCCTTAACTATAAGCATAATCCTAATGTTTTTTATAATACTTGCCAGTAGATAAAGTAAATGAATATGAACTCTACTATTTCAACTTGTGTATGTATTTTTTTTCTTTTTCTAGAAATGAAAGATCATTTATATGCAATTACAAAGAACACTGGTTTACAGTTAGAAAATTAGGGAAACAGGTAATATTTCTCACCTTCCCTTTTTTCTCATTTTGCACTCCATTTGCCACTTAAATGTAAAGGATTGGTACCTTAAAGATGAAGAAACTTACCAGTGATGTGTGTGTGTGGTACGGTTTTAATCTTGATAGAGATTTGCAGTTTTAAAAGACAGTATCAGTTTCCCGTATAGATTTATTTATAACAGCCATACAGAGTTGACTCTTGAACAACATGGGTTTGAACTACATGGGTCCACTTATATGTGGATTTTTTCTTACAGTACTGTAAATGTATTTTCTGTATGGTTTTCTTAGTAGCATTTTCTTTTCTCTAGCTTTATTGTAAAAATAAATATATAAGGGGCACCTGGCTGGTCATAGAGCATGCAACTCTTAGTGTCAGAGTTGCGAGTTCAAGCCCCATGTTGGGTGTGGAGCCCACTTAAAAAAAAAACAGTATATGATACATTATACAAAATATGTGTTAATTGTTCATGTTAGCAGTAAGGCATCTGGTCACCAGTAGGCTATTAGTAGTTGAGTTTTTTGAGGAGTCAAAAGTTACATGTGGATTTTCAACTGTGGAACGGGTCAGCATCCCTGATCCCCACATTGTTCAAGGGTCAACTGCACAATTTAACTATATCATAAGAAAAACTTTCTATTTAATACAATACACATGTGGTTACTTTTAGTGGGTTTTTATGTGATAAAGATGTTTTTCCAGTTAACTGTGACTTTATAGATTAGTGTTTAACGTATAGTAGTATCATGAAGCCTGAAACAACATCCAGCATGAGTAAAAGTTTTCAATCATGTTAGCTTTAGCATATCAAAGATTATTCACATGCCAAAATGCCATGTAATACATACATCTACGTGAAGTCATTTCTGGTTTTGGGTTTTTTCCTTTGTTTTGTTTTGTTTTGTTTTGCTTTCAAAAAAGAACATGGAATGTGTCTTGAACAAGCCTTTCTTAAGATCAAGAAATGTACCTAAGATGTCATTTTTGTAAACAATTACCAAAGATCTTTGTATACATGGTACCACTTTTGAAACAATTATTTAAAGTCCTTTTTATTAGAATTTTGAATTTTTGAAAAAGGGTTATTATAAATGATCTAATAAAAAGAAATGAACTCTTGATATGTTCAATAAACGGATGGATCTAAAAATAATTAAGCTGAGTGAAAGAAGCCAGACACAAAATACTATATACTAGATAGTTCCATTTACATAAAGGTCTAGAAAATGCAAATTATTGGGACAGAAAGCAGATCGACCAGTGGTTTCCTGGGGATGAGGAAGGCAAGAAGCAGTGAGAGAGGAGGATCATAAGGGGCGCCAGAAACTCTCTTGGTTGTGGTGATGGTTTCATGGGTGTATGGATATGTTAAACTTCAAATTGGACATTTTAGATGTGTGCAATTTCTCGCATGTCAGTTACATCCCCGTAAAACTGTTTTTAAAAATAATACAGAGCAGGGGCGCCTGGGTGGCTCAGTCGTTAAGCGTCTGCCTTCGGCTCAGGTCATGATCCCAGGGTGGGTCATGGGATCGAGCCCCGCATCGGGCTCCCTGCTCAGCGGGAAGCCTGCTTCTCCCTCTCCCACTCCTCCTGCTTGTGTTTCCTCTCTCGCTGTCTATCTGTCAGATAAATAAATAAAATCTTTAAAAAAAAAAGCATTCGAATTGCTTTAAAAAAAAAAATAATACAGAGCAAAAAAGAAAATGAAATCAAGAATGAGTGCATTGGATTAAATCAATAAGCGATCACTCGAAAGCAGAAACCCTACTATTATCTTATAAGTCAACCACCTAGAAGCAGCTTCATGTGACATGGTTATTTCTAAAGGTCCCTCCTGAGTTACAAAGAGCAAGGAAGGCAGCGTGGCGTAGTAGAGGCTGACCTGAGTGGGGATCACCTCTAAGGAAAGACCAGCAGGACGTTGCCAAGACTATTTAACCTTTGGCTTTTATTTATATTTTTTTTTTAAAAAATATGATCAAGTATTCCTTACTTCTTCTGTATAAGGTAATCACTGGATGTTTTTAAGATCTGAAGACTTTGGTCCCAAAAGTTCCTTTATATTGATTTGCATGTAAACTTAACATCATTATTTTGAGAGGTTTTAAAAATTTCAGTTCTTTATTTTTTTTAAGATTTTATTTACATATTTGTCAGAGAGAGAAAGAGAGTGAGAGAGCATACAAGCAGGGGGAGCGGCAAGCAGAGGGAGAAGCAGGCTCCCCGCTGAGCAAGGAACTCAATGCGGAACTCGGTCCCAAGACCCTGGGATCATGACCTGAACCAAAGGCAGACGCTTAACTGACTGAGCCGCCCAGACATCCCAAAAATTTTAGTTCTTTAAAATTGAATTTTCAGGGCACCTGGGTGGCTTAGTCGATTAAATGTCCAAGTCTTGGTTTTGGCTCAAGTCTGATCTCATGATTTGTGAAATCCAGCCCACTGAGCAAGGAGTGCACTTGAGCATTCTCTCTCCCTCTGCCCCTCCCCCCACTCACACTCTCTCTCTCTCTCTCAAATAAATAAATAGACCTTTTTAAAAATATATATAAATAAAACTGAATTTTCACATTTTAAATTACTTTGACAAATACAAGAAATGTTATATTTTGACTTACCTTTGGCTCTAATTTATCTTTTTGTTTATAGTTATATTTTTCATTACACACTCTTTTGTATGAGTTAAAAAGATGACTGGAAAAGTTTCTCTTTTTTTCTGTGTATTGTTTTTAATTCCAGGATAGTTAGCATACAGTGTTATATTAGTTTCAGGTGTACAATGTAGTGATTCAACAAGTCTGAAGGTTACTCAGTGCTCATCACGATAAGTGTATTCTTCATCTCCTTCACCTATTTCACTCATCCCCCATCGACCTCCCCTGTGGTAACCATCAATTTGTTCTCTGTAGTTAAGAGTCTGTTTTTTTGGGTTGTCTCTTTTTTCTCTGTTCCTTTGTTCTGTTTCTTAAATTCCACATATGAATGAAATCATACATTATTTGTCTTTCTCTGACTTATTTCACTTAGCATTATACTCTCTAGATCCATCCATGTTGTGGCAAATGGCAAGATTTCATTTTTTTTTTAAGATTCATTTATTTAGAGAGAGAGCATGAGTTGGGGGGGAGGATCAGAGGGGGAGGGAGAGAGAATCTTAAGCAGACTCTGAGCTAAGCTCAGAGCCCGACTCAGGGCTTGATCTCTTGACCCTCAGATCATGACCTGAGCCAAAATCAAGAATCGGAGGCTTAAACCACTGAGCTCCCCCAGGTGCCCCAAGATTTCATTCTTTTTTATGGCTGAGTAATATTCCTCTGTGTGTATATATGTGTGTGTGTGTATCTTCTATCTTTAGCTATTCATCTGTCGGTGGACACTTGGGCTGCTTCCATAATTTGGCTATTGTAAATAATGGTGCAGTAAACATAGAAGTGCATATATCTTTTCAAAGTAGTGTTTTGGCATTCTTTGGGTAAATACCCAGTAGTGGAATTACTGGATTGTAGGGTAGTTGTATTTTTAATTTTTTGAGGAACCTCCATACTGTTCTCTGCAGTGGCTGCACCAGTTTGCATTCCCACCAGCAGAGCATGAGGGTTCCTCTTTTGCCACATCCTTGCCAACACTTGCTGTTTCTTGTGTTTTTGATTTTAGCCATTCTGACAGCTGCTATCTCATGGTAGTTTTGATATGCATTTCTGTGATGAGTGATGTTGAGCATCTTTTCATGTGTCTGTTGGCCATCTGCATGTTGTCTTTGGAGAAATGAATGACTGGAAAAGCATTATCTCTGTCAAAATCAAGGAAAAGCAATTGGTCATGATGCTGACTGTAATTTTTGAAACTTCTGTATCTTGTGGGTTAAATTAGGAGTCCTATGAAGTAGTGACTAAATGATTTTAATTACATGTGATAGTGGCTTAGTGATGTTTGTAAAATCAGTTGGCAATTATAAATTCTCTTCCTGGAATGTCTAGTTTTCTCACAAGTGAAATATTTTTATATTTTATTTATTTAAGAGAGCGAGAGGGAGGGAGAGCACACACAGGAGCAGGGGGAGGGGCAGAGGGAGAGAGAATCCTTGAGCAGACTCTGCACTGAGCCTGGAGCCCAGCATGGGGCTCAGTCTCATGACCCTGAGATCATAACCTGAGCTGAAACCAAGAGTTGGATGCTTAACCGACTGAGCCACCCAGGCACCCCTGAAATCTTTTGACCAAAATTAATCAGCAGTGGGAAAATTTTGTGTAGTTTCATTTTTCTTCAGTATAATGTGATTAGGATTTTTTTGGGCTGATACCTTGAAAAAAGATTTAATTACACCTATCAAAGATACGTTAAAGTACTATCAATTTCTGTACTCTTTTTGGGAGTGGGAGATTTAAAATTTATGACTTAGGGGTGCCTAGGTGGCTCAGTCGTTAAGCATCTGCCTTCAGCTCAGGTCATGATCCCAGAGTCCTGGGATTGAGCCCCTCATCGGGCTCCCCGCTCCGTGGGAAGCCTGCTTCTCCCTCTCCCACTCCCCCTGCTTGTGTTCCCTCTCTCACTGTGTCTCTCTCTGTTGAATAAGTAAAAATCTTTAAAAAAAAAAAAAAATATGACTTAAAGCAAAATTTTATTTTTAAAACATTTTTATTTTAAAACATTTTAAAACATTTATCAGCATTTAATACTGATAAATCTGCAACACCTATTTCAGTTCTTAAAAATCACAATACTTAATTACTTTAAAAAAATCTTGGTTTTACAGTGTTTTCGGTATTTAGATAGTCTTAGTAAGTTTAGATGGGTTATGTTTATTCTTAACATATGGAACTTCCTTATTACTTACAATGTGCATTAACTTAAATATTTACAATTTTTTTCCAGTGGTTCAACTTGAATTCTCTCTTGACGGGTCCAGAATTAATATCAGACACATACCTTGCACTTTTCTTGGCTCAATTACAACAGGAAGGTAAATAAAGACTGACATTTTTATAATGTTATCTTTCAAAGTAGCTAAATAAAACTAGCTCTGTTAGGTCTAAGTATAAAAATAACTGTTTTTATGGCAGTGAAATCATCTTGGTGAACTTTAATCTATGATTTGGATGACACCATCCGGGCAGAATTTTCACTGACACTTCGCCCTCACCTGAGGATGCTGCTTCCTTAGCAGCCCCGCTAAGTGATGGCTCTTTTTCCTTCCAGACCCCACAGACCCCAAGGGCTAAGAGTGGGGGGTGGGTATTCTTCTTGCTTCTCCTTGCCCCTCCTAGGCCACTATCTTTCACTTAAAACTCCAGCTCTTTTAAAATACCTCACACACACACACACACACACACACACACACAAAATTAAAAAACTAAAATAAAACACCTGACACTAGAGTAAACTCTCCCTCCTGCTCTTTTGCATTCATCTGTGATCCTCCTTTTCCACAGAAGATTTTTAGTCTGACTCGCTGTTCTCTCAACTTGAACTCCTTTTATCATTCTTAAGTGATTTCTACATCAAAAATTCACCCAATTCAGTACCTTGCTTTTTATTTTCAAAGATCATTTTCTTCCCTTTTGCCTTGCCATTACCAATAACTGTACCACCGTCAAATCCCAATCACAGGCATTTTACTCTTTGACAGTCGCCTTCTATTTTTATACCATATTTTCTCTGTTGTCTGTATCCAACAATTCTTTAAACCCTACCCAGGGACGCCTAGGTGGCTCAGTTGGTTGGGCGACTGCCTTCGGCTCAGGTCATGATCCTGGAGTCCTGGGATCGAGTCCCACGTCGGGCTCCCTGCTTAGCAGGGAGTCTGCTTCTCCCTTTGACCCTCCCCCCTCTCATGCTCTTTCTCATTCTCTCTCTCAAATAAATAAATAAATACAGTCCTTTAAAAAAATAAAAATAAACCCTACCCAAACGTTCCTTTCCATCCTTACTTCCTGTCTGCTCCTGCTTATTTCTGTAACCCATCATTATAATCAATCTGATGCATGCCTCAACTCCTCTTTCCTTCCTTCTGTCATACTTTCATGACAAAATGCAAGCCCTGGTTAAAATCAGATCTTGGGCTTGTCCATTCCGGCATCAGAGCAGCTGAACATGGCTACAGATAACAAAAAAAACAGATGACTGGTTTTGCTTTAAATTTATGATCACAAATTTCAAAGGATCCTTTAGGGCTACTTGACATTCCTACTGTGTTTTTGTAGTAAGTTCACTTGTCACTCTCCAAGATGCTTATTTCCCAGTTCCTCTCTTCAAACCTCTGACCACTCCCCTCTCTCTCACTGCTAGCTTATGGCCTTCCTTTGTATTCCATTGACAAAACAGAAGCAATTAAAAGAGAACTTCCTGGGACACCTGGATGGTTCAGTCAGTTGAGCGCCTGCTTTCTGCTCAGGTCATGATCCGGGGTCCTGGGATCAAGTCCCACATCGGGCTCCCTGCTCAGCGGGGAGCCTGCTCCCTCTGCCTGCTGCTCCCCCTGCTTGTGCGTGCTCTCTCTCCCTCTCTGACAAATAAAATCTTGAAAAAGAAAAGAAAAGAGAACTTCCCTGTCTTTCTACCAGCAAATCTGTCAGCTGTCTGTATGTCAGCCTGTGTGTTGAGCCGAGTAAAGTAGGTGAATTGTCCCCTGCTCCTGACCAAAACCAACCTGTTCACTCTGGGACGGGATCCCAGCTCCTCTTACCTACTCGAGATCTTTGCTCTTGCTTTTGCCTTTCTGCTTTCCTGCATGATCACTTCACCCCCTTTTTGTATTAGTCCTGTCAGCAGAGAAATAAACCTTTTATTTCTATTGACCAAAAAAGAAAAAGCCTCTCTTTGATTCCAGGAAAGTCCAGCTGCCTGCCATTTTTATTTTCCCCTTAGACTCACCTCTGGCGTGTTGTCTCCTGTTCTTGAACTCATTCCAGTCACACTGTCATAACCAGCATTTCACCAAAAAAGCCTTCTTCCCAAGGTTACCAGTGACCTTCACATTTGTATTCAATTCTCAGCTGCCTTTTATTTGACCTCACTACTTGAGGGTATAGTTGATTATACCCTCATGTAGAACAGAACAAAACTTTTTCATTGAAAATTTCAAACAAATAGAGAAAATAATGTGATAGATTCTCATGTACCTTTTACCCAGCTTCAACAGTTATCTCATGGCTGATCTTGTTACACCCTTTTCTTTCCCCTGCTTATTTTGAGCATCTTATTTTCTCTGTAAAATGTTTAATAACATAAGATAACGCAGTAAGTGTTCACATCTCCAATCTCTTTGGTGTGTCTTAGGATTTTCACAGGTTAGCCAGTTTGAAATAAGGTTCATTAATTGCATTGATTGATATGTCTTCGAAGTCTAACTATAGGTTTCCTCTTCTCTTTTTTTTCCCCTTGTTTTTTGTTTTTGTTTTTGTTTTTTTAAGAAAATGGGTCATTTGTTCTTTCCCATGCTCTGAATTTTGCCAATTACATCTTTATTTTCCTCTGAGCCCTGGATACCCAACAGACTGGCCTTTAGAGTTTGAGGCTTGATCAGATTCAGGTTAATTTGGGGGCAGGGTGGGGAGACAGTGGAACACTTCACAGATGGTGTGGCACTTGATGTCTGGTTGTCTCTCTTTGTGATACGAGCAACTATTGATGATCAGTTCTTAGATCGATTATTTCATTAAGGGTTGCAAAAGGGTGGTGTTAGATTCCCATTGTGCCTTCCTGTATTAGCTGGATACTTGTACACAGATAAGCTTTGATCAGTGATTTGGTTACCCTGAAGTAGAGTTCATATGGGAAAAGCAGGATACATGTTCTTCCCTTTTATCACTTTTTAGGATGAGTTGGGTTTTATAGTGTCCTTCCTCCAAAGGTAACCAGTTAGTTGGGGTTTTCTTGTATGTCATGGTAAACTAATCCATCAAAACATAGTTCATGTGTTTCAGTCCATTGTAATTATTATTCATATTGATACTCAAATTGTCCCACTTGGACCAAGGGGAGCCTTTTGAAGTTGAGTCCTAGGTTTCTGAAATGACCACTGTAGCTTTTTGAAGGCTTTCTTTCTCATTAGACAAGATGTTTCAGGCTTACCTTGTATGTTTCTTGCCCTTTATGTTGCTGTGAAAGATCAGTCTGGGTACTAGCATGCTTATTGCTACTGGTTTTGTTGTCATGTTGTTCTTTCCCATTTATATTTAGGATTACAGTATCTTTATTTGGTTTTATATACTAGTAGGTTTTTTCTTTTATGCCTAAACCTTGGTACCTAAGTATGTCCTTCCTTCTTGAAATACTGTCCACAGTATTCCAGGTCACTGTGCTCTGGTTTTCCTCAAATCTTGTTGGCCTCTTTCAGATTCCTTCTGTGGGTCTTACCCTTACTAATCTCTTGTGGTTGAAATGACCCAGAATGTCCCAAGAAATTGGACAATTTCTTGATTATGTGCTGTCCTATTATTGTTGTTGTTGTTGCTATCCCATTATTTTAGATATCATCTCTAAAAAAATCTATATGCCCATAATTCCTAAACTTTTATCTTCTGCCTACACATCTATCCTGAACACCAAATTCCTCACATTGACGTCTCCACTTGGGAAGTCCAGGAAGCATTTCAAACTGAACGTGTCTGCAAAAGACTGATTTTTCTTCTCCCAATATATGCTGTCCCTCAGGTTTTCTGTTTTAGTCAGGTTCTCTCTTCTTGTACTCTAGTTCCTGTACGTTATATTGATAAAGTAGCCCAGAGTGCCTTTTAAACAATGTAATGCATGTTACGGCATTTGCTCTCTTCATCCTTCAGTGTCTTCCCAGCATACTTAGTATGAAAGCTAACATCTTGAATAAAACCTGAGGTATTTACTGTGCCACCTGAACAAGACAGTTTCTGTTCTTCATGATGCTCTTCACGGAATGCCATGGTGCTGACACATTTACTTTAACATCTGGGAACAATTTTACTGTCATAAGACATGCTAGACCATCTGAACTCTGAGCACATTTTGTCCTTATTTTTAAAAAGTATATTAATCATATTATGTTCTTGTTCAAAAAATAAATATTAATGTACTATTTTGAATTTTCCATTAACAGTTCTTTTGATCTTTGTTCATTTGTTTCATTATCTTTTAATGCTCACAAAGGATATCCAGTAATAAGTACCAAAGTTTAAGAAAAATTTATGGTAGAAAAGCTTATATTGTTTAGAATGACTTAGGTATAGTCCACCCATGTTCAGTTTTTGTGTGGAGTATTTAGCTGGGAAAACTTTGGCTTTAAATCATATTTATAAAAAATTACACTGAATCAGTGTAATTCTTTCAAAATATGAACCATATCAGCAACACCTTGACTAGATTTTGAGCGTTGGTTTCCCAACTCCTGTTTTCAGTGAGGACGAGGTTGTGTGTGCGTGCGTGTGTGTCAGGGTGGGGAGGGCAGCTGTTTCTACAGATGATTCGTTTTACCTGTATTTCACATTATTACACACATTATCTGATTGTATTCTCACAACAGCCCTCTGAGGAAGGTACCAGTATCATCAGTTTAACAATTGCATAAACCAAGACATAGCTGGGTAAAGTGATTTACCAAAGACCATGCTCAGTCTTGGAATTGGAAGAGCTAGGACCAAAATTCTGGCCATCTGATTCCACATTCCTTGCTCTTCCCCATTCCTTTACCTGCCTCTTTGTTACCATTTAGTGAGTAGTCTCCTTGCTTCACACACTCTTTTGGTAGGGCTCTTTGTAGACATTATTTCATTTATTCCTCACAGTCACTCTATGAGATGGCTATTCCTGTCTTACAGATGAAGAAAGTGGGGCTTAGAGACTTTCAGTAGTTTGTCCTAGATCACCCTGCCAGTAAGTGTAAGAGACATTGTTTGTACCCAGGTCTTTCTCACTCTTCGGCTTGTATTCTTTCCACTCTACTGTGCTACCTTTCCATCTACTATCATTTTAACCTATTTTTAATCTCTTACTAGCTGTTTTAGTTTATTTTTACCTTTTTTTTAGGTTATTCTATATTTGTTGTTAAGGGTGATCTGCCAGATTGTGAAGCTGACCAACTTTTACAGATGATCAGGGTCCAACAGATGCATAGACCAAAACTCATTGGAGAAGAATTAGCACAACTAAAAGAACAGAGGTAAAATTAAGCCTGCAGTATGGAGTATATGTTAGTATTTCATTACAAGAATTGCACTTTCTTTTTCTTTTTCTTTTTAAAGATTTAGTTTTTTCAAGTAATCTCTGCATCCAGTGTGAGGCTTGAACTCACAACCCTGAGGTCAAGAGTTGCATGCTCTACTAAGTCAGCCAGGTGCCCCAAGAGTTACATTTTCATGCTTACATTGGATGTGTGGTCCTTTTATTGTTGGTGATTTTTTTTTTAGCTCTCTTTTATTTTTAGTGAAGTTTTTTTGTTCAAACTTGAATCAACTCTTTGAATTACTTAATTAGCTTAGATGCACATCACAACACAATCTTCATATTATTAGATTATCTGCCAGAAAATGTGTAATTTTTGATTTACATAAACTCTTTGGGGGCAACTGTCTGGCTCAGTCAGTAGAGCATGGGACTCTTGATTGCAGGGTTGTGAGTTCAAACCCCACACTGGATGTAGAGATTACTTAAAAAAACAAAACCTAAGTTCGAGCCCCATGTTGGGTGTAGAGATTACTTAAAAATAAAATCTTAAAAAAATTACTAAAAAAAATCTTTCGTTTATAAGTGTCTCTATGTTTTATTTAAAATAGAAGACTGATCTGCAGTTACTATCTGTTTTTGTTCTTTAGAGTCCAGAAAACAGATCTGGAACGAGTCTTAGAAACAAATGATGGGTCAACCATGTTAGACGAAGATGAGGAAGATTTGCAGAGGGCTCTGGCACTAAGTCGCCAAGAAATTGACATGGAAGATGAAGAAGCAGATCTCCGCAGGGCTATTCAGCTCAGTATGCAAGGTATCGACATTTGGATGTGTACTTCGTTGTTGAAGGCTGATGGAGATTATTCTTACTTCCCCTGGAAGTTAATGTACTGTTGGTAGAAGTTCTTTGACAATTTCTGTAGAAGCAGTAATTATGTACATACAATTAGCTATTCTTTTAGCTTTCTTATAATACAAATAACTTTTTACAACCTAAGTTATATTAGGACTAATTATATTTTTATTCTGGTTTTTCCATTTGGTTATAATACTGTACTAACATAACAATAAATGGAGCTTAATCTTTGTGGGCAAAAAGTGGGGAGGCCCTTACCCAGATCAGCTATTTTACAAATGTATGCTGTTATATACAAAGGAAGGCCTGGGCAGAAAATATTTAAAAAGTCTAACACTTCGTGGCTGTGCAACTTAACAACTTAAGCCCACTTCGATGGGCCCACATGATAGTGACATAAGCCAAGTAGCAGAGGAGAATGAAGATGTATCCCCTTGGCAATCCAGGCAGAGGGAATTGTCAGGGATATAGCTCAAAGAGGCTTACTGAAAGGTATGCATGGTTTTCTTTGGCAGTTTTGTTTTCATCTAATTAATGTGAATTTGCCTTTTACTTAATGAGATTACTCAATGGAATTTCTTAAATATCTAAATAAAATTGAGGTTACGTTAATATGAAGATTATGCTTTTTATCCTGAATTCTCATGCCTCCTGGCACACCTTGGAGTGCTTCATATGTGCAATCCCATTTTTGATTAGTAGAGCCCTGCTGGATTAGCCCAATAATTAACAGACAACAGCTTTTATAATTTTAGATATTTTTATGTCCTTCACTTTTCTTCCCGCTTTATTTCACCATCTGGGCAGGATCTCTGGTTGGTGCAGTTATTAAGTGAGAACAGGGACACACACTTAAGTTGGTATAGCATGCAACTATTTTAGGATAGAGGAATACAGAGAATGGGTTTACGGTCACCCACTTTAAGTTGTTTCTAGTTGAAAGTGCCCATTCATTTCTAGTAAGTTAAAGAGGGCACACAGGTGTGGTATTAATGGCTCTTCCTTCCAGGTTGGTTGTTAGACTTACATCCTCACATCCACTATATCACAGATGGGTGTGGACACAGGTTATATTTGAACTGCCTTATTCAGATTTGTCCTTGAGCGTTTCAGAGCCTTTCTTATATTTACAGAATAGTAGCACAATATTTTTAAGAAGAAAACTTTCAAAAATTTGCTTAAATAAGTATAAACATAGCATTGCTTAAATTGGTAAATAAAATGATTGGTTTTTTGTTTTGTTTTCTTTTGTTTTCAGGTAGTTCCAGAAGTATATCTCAAGATACTCCACAGACATCAGGTACACATCTTACTTCAGAAGAGCTCCGGAAGAGAAGAGAAGCCTACTTTGAAAAGTAAGGTAGTTGGTACAATATTAAAATTGCATATTTAATGTGTACTTTGTTTTGTCTACAGTTTATACACATAGAGCTTTGGCTTAAACTATTTCATTTAGGATTCTCTCCTTTTAAAAGATTGGTTACCGCCTGAACCCTGTGAACATCTGAGTGTATTTTTTTAAAAATTTATGGCAAATGAACTGAAATGATACGGAGTTTTAGGGAATACCTTTGCCTCGATACCAGTTAAGTTTATATGAAATAAGGTGAAGGAAACCCAGTAAAATTTCAGTCATCAAAAGAAAATGGAGTTGGACCAAAGCAAGAACAATGCCTAATGATCTTCTGGATGTGCTTCTTGGTTACCTGACCAACCCAGCAAAGTTCTTCTGTCAGTTAAAAGGAAAAACAGCATTGTGGTCAGGGAACACTCTCCCATCCCAGATAGAGGTGGTGGTTAATTGTTCTTAGTGCCTCTTATTGCCACTTCAGGGGTTACTGCAGGCCTGTTGGCATAGGGACGTGGGGACAAACCATAAATCTGAATCATCAGCTCCCAAAACCCAACTACACTATGTAAGTGCTCTCAAATTAGAAAATAAAAATGTCATCCTTTTCAGTAACTACCATTCACAAGTTGTCTTCCCTTTTTCTTTTTTTAAGGATAAAACTTTATTTTAAAGGTTACACAGTAGTCTTTAGATAGATATTCAGATCCTCTGATCCCAGATCAGAAACCAGAAGGCCTGAGGCTGAATCTGACCTCTTCCCTGTGTTTCTTCAATTCTGAGATGTACATATTTTCACATTTCAACATCTCTGCAATTGAGAAGCATCTTAAAATCATAGCTGGCAGTATTAGTGGGATCTACAATATTGGAGCATTTTACATTTGATGGTGTAATGAAGATAATATTTACCTTGTTTTCTGTTTTGTTTTTTTTAAGTCACAACTCAGAAGTATATGGAGGAAAGTTCTGATCAGCTGACATCCTCTTAATGTGAGATATTTCTAGTCTTTATTCAGTGATAGATTAATGGATTTAATTATATAAAATTTCAAAATAGTGCTTACTTATTAGTGCTTCACTTCCTTTCAGATTTTTAATTTTTTTAGTTTTTTAATTATGGTAAACTTCAAATACCTATAAAAATAGAGAAACCAGCATAATGAACCCCTGTTTACCTAACATTACCCAGCTTTAACAAATATCAGCACATGGCCAGTCATGGTTTTCTGTGCCCCGCATCTCTTCTGCTTTCCCCTCTCCCATTCCCAGGCTGGGATTATTTTGTGACAAATCTAAATTATTGTATCCTTTCATTCACTTTTTTGGAATATAGAGAAGTGTTATTGCCACACTGTAATGTTAATAATTATCACACGATAATTACAGGTAATTCTACAATATCATCAAACATCTAGTTAGTGTTAAAAAATAACTTAAGGGATGGGACGCCTGGGTGGCTCAGTCGTTAAGCGTCTGCCTTTGGCTCAGGTCATGATCCCAGGGTCCTGGGATCGAGTCTCACATCGGGCTCCTTGCTCAGTGAGGAGCCTGCTTCTCCCTCTCCCTCTGCTGCTCCCCTTGCTTGTGCTCTCTCTCTCTCT